TTAGAATCAAGGCAGAATTTTTATTTAAAATGATTGATTACATGTTCTCTTTTCCTTAGATTAAACATTTTTGTTTTTCTTTATTCTTCAGAGATTTGGTTTGGTTTGTCGCTTTACAGACATCTTGTGCACACGAGGGCCAAACAGACCGGGAGCTACATTTTAAAGAGTATTCCTTACCACTCACAAACATCTATTCCAGGATTCGAACCTGGAACCTATGGCATCAAAGGCCAGAGCGCTAGCCAATTGTCCATCAGGCCACTATTCTTCAGAAAAGAGATGCACACTATTATTTTATTTATAAGCTACCAAGTAGGATCGAGTGTTTCACGATTATATAAACAAAATAAATTATATTGGTGATGAAATTAAAAAAAAAAAATGTCTGTGCAGAAAAAATAATTCGGCTAAAATAGTATAAATTGAGTAAATAAAACAATCATTCCTATGCAAGGATTCACAATAAATTTTATCCACTTTTAAAATGCTGTAAAAAAAGAACCACTCGTCACAATGAGTTCAAATTTGAACAGAAGAAACATGAAGAAATAGAAAATGGTATGAAAAATTTCCTCCGATTTTTCCCATCCAATTTGGTATAACCTTGCAATGGTCATAATTTATCATAATTTCGGCAGTTAATTTATTTTTTGAATATATAGATACCCACATATTGTATTATTTTAGTACATTGGTTTTCACTACTTTGGTCATTCTAAACAAATATATTTTGTAAAAGTGTGATACATCTCACGGGCCGGAAAAATATTCAAGGTGGGCCGCAGGTTGGTTGATGTACATAGCACTACAACTTAATCAGTGCATATAGTGCTGGGGAATGGGGGTGTGGTGTAAAGATTCCGAAGTGACCAGGACTGTAAAATATCAAAATAAAAAATTATTATTTCAAAATAAAATAATTCTTTTTAAAATAGTTTAAATTTATTAACAGAAAAATATAAACAACTATCATTGAGTTTTAAAAAAATAAATTATAATCCCATGTTTAAAAAATGTTGATAAATCTGCCCATTAATTTTTTTTTTCTGAACTAGTAGAAAAGAATTCATCTAAGTAACGAGATCTGGTAGGCAATTGACTCGAATCATAACTATGATAGCATGTCTACCATAAATGTGGGAGTGCAGTGTATTGTTATGGGCTCTCCAGATGTTTATACAACAAGGAGGACCATCATGAGCTGCCCACGCTCTCTACTCCATCGTAAAGTCAGTTAGGCAACGAGTTAATTACTCCAATATGAAGTGCGTGCTCTAGCTTGTTAGTGCCCTCCATCTAAATCTAATAGAATCCTTACATGTACTAGAACATAGGCTGCTAACAAGTATCTGATCTATCTTCTGATCGTTACAGGCACCTAATTTCAGGATCAGAAACATATAGGGATTAACATCATGTTAAATATTAGAAGAATTAAAAACATATTTTTTTTTTTATTTACATTAAAATAAAATAAAATATTTGGCATGTATTTCGTTAAGTTTTTAATTCGGTTATTTGTTTACAGTGTGTAATAGCAATAATTTTCCTTAATTTTTATCATTGAAATTAATTGACAATAGTGCATAATTCTAAACTTGTAATATATAAAATGATTTTTAGACGGAAAAAAAAACTATCGAAGTTAGAATTTTGAGTTTAAAATTAATTTTGATATCTTAAAAAATTGAATTTAAAAATGAAAATTTAACAAGACAAAACTTAAATAAATAAAAATAGACCCATTCTTAGCTATTATAAATATTCGGACATATATAATACGTCTATAAACGTTATTTAACACACATGTAGCATATTTAACGATATACACAAAAAGTTGAGTGGAAGGATTCCACTAAATGCTCTCGTAATGAGAGGTTGTTGTTTTTTTGTGCCAGCAGCGCCTTGCGTCCTCTTGGATGGGGGGTTCGATGCCAACTGAACTTTTCACCAGGTTACGTCGCAAGTGCGTGGGAGGAACACGGTTACAGGTGGAAACACAATAGGTAAAACCACGGTTACAGTATTAGTATTAAAAACTTTTTGACAAAGTGCAAATGTATGAAAAATAAAAAAAGATTTATTATACATGATATAATTAAAAAAATGAAACAAAAAGACATAATTAAGCATTTTTAATATAAATGCAATAACTGTAAATTAAACATAAAAAAAATTGCGAAAATCTTTATCAATTATCTCTAAATTCTCAAAACTCTTGAGTAATTATATGTTCTCAGAATTAATCTTATTAAAAGGATCCAAATTAATAAACTTCTGTGCGCAGTTTCATTTTTATGTAACTACACAAAGTTTTAACATCAGATAAAAGAAGAATATGCATTCGAATTCATGCCCACAAAAAAAAAAATTGTTTTGCCATCAGTTTACAGTTCTTTCGAGTTTCTTTTCAATTTTTGTGACTGTGACTGTAACTGTACAGACATCATTAAAGAAATCTTTTATCTCTTCACTTTTCTTCTGGTGCTTCTTTATGTATTTGCCATTGTGCGACGGAATTGTGTTGTAGAAAGATGATTCCGTCTAACGACCTGTTCGTTTCAGGTTTTGGCATAAAGGAAAAGTTATTGAAGTTGTTTCTTTGCAGCGTTTTCTATCTGTCTTGTTTGGATTTCTGGTGTAAAATGTTTGCTATAATTGCAAACAATAGCCTTTAAGTAAATAACATTTCAGTGCAGTGGAACGTACAATTATTCTGAATTACAAAACAAGTAACAAAAAAAAAATTTTAAGTCAATTCCTTCTTTTTTTTTCACTGTATTGCAGAAAGTCCTTTATAATTAATTTTCTTTCATTTTTTTAAAGTTCATGTGGCTCCATCTAGTGGCAGATATATGCAACTTAAATCTACAAAAAACTAAAATTAATGAATTAAATTTAATGACTGAATTAATATTTGAAAAAACTGTATTAACATACAGTACCATCCACTACAAGTTTAAAAAAAATGTATTTGAACTTGAATGGATGAATAAAAAGTGTTTTATGAACGATTGAAAATTTGAACAAGATATATTTAGGGAGAGTGTGAGTTAATAGAAGGAATTGAATAATACTTTGCCTTTCAGTGGAAGAAATTTAATTAAAAATATTATTTTTTTGACAATATATTTATGTATGTAAATCTTTATTATTATTATAAGAATTTTTAATTTTATGTAAATAGTAAAAATGCCTTATTGACTGAATTTAAAATCACTCATGGATTTTCTAAATTCGTATTGACAATTGATGATGTCTCAGCATGAGTTGTCTTATGATTTATCATTATCAAACAAAATTTTAATTTTAAACAAATGCGCATAATTCATAATTTTTACAGTAATTAATGGCAATAAATAAGTGGAAATTAAAATAACCTAGTTACGTTGTTATAATCATGTGCATTGAAAATAACAATACAAAATTATTAGTTTTTATATCATCAATTTTTTTTCCTTTTTTTCCATTCCTACTATTAGCTCACACTCTCCCTATATATATATCTTGTTCAAATTTTCAATCGTTCATAAAATACTTTTTATTCCTCCACTCAAGTTCAAATACATTTTTTTAAAACTTGTAGTGGATGGCACCTGATGTTAATAGAGTTTTTTTTAAATATTAATTCATTCATTAAATTTAATTAATTAATTTCAGTTAATTTTAGATTTAATTTGCATCTACCTATAGATGGCGCAAGATGTAAGAGGAAAATTTCAACTTTACTTATAAAGGACTTTCTGTAATATATAGGAATTGACTTAATTTTTTTTATATTACTTGTTTACATTAAAAATATGTAACAATGTTTAAAAAAAAAACAGATACATCAAACGTATCTACAATATCTAGTAAAACTGCATTCTAAAATCGATTCTTCCGATTTCTGAATGTATGAATAATTTGAGAAATGGATTTAATGTTTGCTTTTGTAAATGCTACTTTCATATCTCGTTTTCTCCTTATGATATGCATTGAAAAATGTTTCATTCATGAAGTAAAGAAAACAAAAATAATAAAACCAAAAGAATAATAATAATACATGCATGATTTTTGCATGTTAGATTTTAAGTCAATATATAGATTGATAGTTTCTTATATTTAATGCAATAAAGTTTACAATATTTAAATTAGGTTTCAAAATTTTAAATTTATATTATTCCAAAGCCTGCATCCTGATTATTCTTATCCAAAAATATCATAGCAAATTTTGTAGGATTATTTTAGTTCCTGACTCACTAAAAACATAAAATATTCCTTAAAATTGATTTGTTTTTCCTTATACAAATCGTACTGGAATGCTAATTCTTTTACGTTAAACTGATTTTTGAAAAAAAAAAAGTTTTGTTTAAAATAAAAATACATTTGATTTGGTTTTTAATAATTTTTTAATATCTTACATTTTTGATCCAGTTCTTACTTCATATTCAATAATAACTATTGATGTAAAAATATTTTTGAATAATTTTGAAAAGTTTTAATTAAGCAGATTTGACGCTTTCTTTTGTATCTACCAACCAGTTATACAGGGTGATTATAATTAGAGTCCCTTTTTCAAAATGTTGTTAAAAAAAGAACCACTCGTCACAATGATTCATGAAAGTCAATTAAACTCATGCCAAATACGTTGTCATTTCGACTCAAAATATCAAAGGCAGCCGAATTTGCTTTTTTTATGCCGCTTACAGTGGCATCTATTGATATACTTTAGGCATTTTTTTTGATGCCGTACCATTTCCCCCTTCTTCAAGTATCTTCAGTTCAAATTTGAACTCATTGTGACGAGTGGTTCTTTTTCGCAACATTTTGAAAGAGGGGTTATTGAGTTGTTCACGGGAATCATAAATGGTGCATTGTGGCCCATCGATATATAAAAAAAAATCCTTTCTGCTAAGCATAAATATTATTTATTTATCAAAATTTCAGGCAGAACGTAAATTTATTCAATTCCCGCTATTAGTTCACACTGTCCCTATATATATTTATATATAGCCAACGGTCATACCATAGTGAATATACCGGTTCTCGTTAGATCACAGAAGCCAAGCATCATTGGGCGCGTTCAGTACTTGGGTGGGTGACCACCTGGGAACACCGCGTGCCGTTGGCATTCACAAATTTGGGACCTGAATGACCGAGTGTCTAGCGCTCTGGCGCTCGGGGCCACAGGTTTCGGGTTCGAATCCCGGCGGTGCCATGGATGTTTGTAGTGGTTCGGAATCCACTTTAAGCCGTAGGTCCCGGTCTCCTATGACTGTAAGAGCGTCACGGAGCCAAAGTCAGACTTCTACCTACGGGTGCTCCATCACAACAGAAGCTGCTTCCTTCCCCTTCAACGATGAGTACGTATGGGCTCGTGGGCTTGGGCCAACCAAGTGGGATAAGAAACAACAAACATATTTATATATCGTGTCCAAATTTTCGATCGTTAATAACATATTTTTTTTATTCATCCAATGCATTTTTCGAAACTTGTAGTGAAGGACACTTGTTGTTAATACTGTTTTTTCACTAATTCACTAATTAAATTTAATTAATTTAAGAACTGGACTGCTCGAAACTGACTGGAAAGGTTCCTTGCAATAATGAAGCATTACAAGAGAAGGATAGAATGAGAAATTATATACCACAATCAACTGCATAAAAATTAGAAACGGAAAAAAATAGAAAGCGAATAAATAGTAAAAAACAAAAATAAGAGTCTAGCACCCTATATAGAAAGGAAAATGGAAAATTGCAACGAAATTCGTTTTCTATTGTGCCACTTAATAGTGTGATACTGTCGCATGTATATACATAGTTATATTAATTCTAATTATTTAATAAAAAGTAACTAAAATAATTAACAGATAAGAATTAAAAAAAAAGTAAAAAATAATAAGTTTTCTTTGTTGATCGATATAGGAATTGAATTAATTTTTTTTTTATATTACTTGTTTTCAGTAATAAAAAACATGAATTTTTTTTTACTTGAGAATTCTTTTATAAGTGAAAAAAATCTCCTGAAAATGTTATAAAGATCTTCACATTTTATTTTCATATTTAAATCCAAAATATTCCATTTCAAAGTAAAGTAAACAGTTTTTCTTTGTAGGGGCCGGAAGGGCCGAGTGGCTAGCGCTCTGGCGCTTGGTACAACAGGTTTCGGGTTCGAGTCCCGGTGGTGCTATGGTTGTTTGTAGTGGTTCGGAATCCAATTTGAAAAGTAGGTCCCGGTCTAATAGGATCGTAGAACGTTGCGGGGGCATTGCTACTCAGTGTCCGTGGCTTATCTTCAAGTTACACGCGCCCCCTGGGTAACGCAAAGTGAGTACGTCTCTGCAGCACTTGCCTTAAGGCATCCAAAGACCAAGCTGTCTGTGTTTGCCAGCTGCATTAGAAAAAAAAATTATTTGTAGAAAAATGCAGAGTATCCTTCATAAATTCATTCTATTTATTTTGTAAAAGCTCTGCCCTTGAAAGAAACCGGTATTTAATCACATCTTGTGATTTTGTACCACCCTAAAGTGTTCTTTTCGCTTTAAATTTCTCGGTAAATAGAAAAATTATTAATTAAGCGAATCAAATTTCGTGGGGTACTTAGGTACTCAAAAGAAAAATCAAGTTAAGAGAAGAATATTTATTTTTTGGTTAAAATTATACGACATAAATTATGCATTCAATACCGCAACTTTTGGCAGCGTTCGAAATTCTTACAAAAACATCATTAGTCAGAATTATGTTTTAATTAATAACAACATTTTATGAAACCTAGAGTGCATTTTTAAGCAGCGATATTTCTGAGAAAGATAAAAGCATAATTAGCATTCATTAAAAAGTCAGCAGAGAAATAAGTTTGATATTTTAAGAGCAAAGATTTTAAGACCCATTCAATTATACCCATTTCTAAAACTACTCTTTTTTATACTTCCTCAAGCCTAATTGAATATTTGCTTTAAGATTTAAGTAAATACGTTTTCGATGGTTCAGTGCATTTTATGGTACTGCCAATTAACACTTTTGAAGAAAAAATATCTTAAACCAATTCATTTGCCATACTTCTATATATTCTTTAAAAATCTTCTTGGTTCCTATGTAATTCTATTTATTTATTTTTGATATTAATTAATTGAATGCTTATATATTATAAAAATATTCTTTTATCTGCCAGACTATTCATTTATCGTCATTTATTATGACACATTTTGTAGCAGATTCAATGTTATTCGGAATGGAGAACAATAAAATGCGTGCACAACAATAATCCCACAAGAATTAAACATTTAAAATTTGTTTTTATTGATTTGAGAATTTGACTTTTCAAGGGCCTGATGTGCGAGTGGTACCATAGGCTTCGAGTTCGAGTCCCAGGCTGTGCCATGGATGTTTGTAGTGGTTCAGAATCCACTTTAAACCGTAGGTCCCGGCCTGTCTAGCCCTCTGGACTCAAACTGACAGTAGAGGGACAAACCAAATTAAACCCTTTCCTCGTTGGCGTTAACTTAAACGGTGCATGGGTAGTGTTAATCCACGTCCGTAGCTTATCTTCAAGCTACACGCGCTCCCTGGCTAGTGCAAAGTGAGTAATGTCGGTGCAACCCTTGCTTATGGCATAAAATACAACTGTCTAAGGTTTTTGTCAAATTATATATTTAATATTTTCGATAGCAATGTTTTTATTTTTTTATTACCTTTGCTTTCCATTTTTAACTAAATTTATATGTTTCAAATTTCATTATTTTCTTGCAAAAGTGCGAATTATTCTATATATTGCACAAGAGTTATCATTTAATTCATAAAAACTTTAGAAATTATATATTGAATAATTTCGTTAACGTATTTGAAATTCTTTATAACCTTTTCTTTCTATTTTTAACTAAATTTAGAAGTTTCAGATTTTTTTTTTTATTTTCTTGCAAAGCAACGAATTAATCTGTATACGGCGCAGAAATTATTATTTAATTTATGAAAGAAATAATAATTATAAATTGAATCTTTCGTTAGCTTATTTTTAATTCTTTTATTACCTTTTCTTTCCATTTTTAACTAAATTTAGAATTTTCAAAATTTCTTGATATTCTTGCAAAAGGACGAATTATTCTCTATACTGAACAAGAATTATCATTAAATTTATAAAAAAATAATAATTGTAAATTTAATCTTTTCCTTTGCATATTTGTAATTCTTTTATTACGTTTTATTTTCATTTTAAACTAAATTGAGAAGTTTTAAAGAAGATTGTATCATTTTCTTGCAAAGAGCTAGTTGTCCTCTATATCGCACGAAAATTTCCCAAATAACCATATATATTACAATTTAGTGTAAATTTGAATAAAGTATAGTTAGCGAATGCAGAATTTCTTTAATTAAACCGTGCTACCATTTGTAAAAGGCTCTTATTTCAGAAACTAATTTCGTCTTAAAGAGATGCGTTAGTGATTATGCTGCAATATATTTCATTCCATACTTATGTAAAGCATGCTAGAATGTATCAATTTCGCTCTGTCTGGTGTATCTTAAAACAGAACAACGAATTCTAAGATGACTAATATGCATAATACTACACACACACACACACATATATATATCTATATATATGCAAAAAGGGAAAACTTATAATTGCTTAGAGTTCTTCCAAATTATTTTAGAAAGGATTACTTCAGTCTTCAGAATCAACTTGATAAGTTGTTATGAAGAGAATCTTATATTTTAAATTGATATTTAGCTAATAAAAGCAATTCAAAAATAATTTAATGTTAAAAGACTGTAGAAATATTAAAAACCAAACATAATCTCTAAGATAAACCTTGCTTAAACGTTTCATTATACATATTTATCTTATAATTTTAGTAAGTTCTACATTTAATTTGTACATAAATTGGGAATAAGAATTTTTCAAATTTTTAATTGCTTAACTTATCACCATTTTCCATGGTATATCAATTAACATATTTTTATTTTATCAGGTTTTCCCCGTTATTTGTATCAATTTAATTTCAGCATATTTATTTTTTATTAACACGTTTTATTCAACTTGTAAGAGTTTAAAAAAAAAAAAAAAAACATACGACATATAAATCATTTAGTGTTTTTTTTTTTAATAGAAAAATCAACTATAATAAGAATTTAAAATAATGAAACGACCTATAGATCTAAAGAAAAATATGATTATTAAGTTTAAGTTAAACATGCTTAAATATTGATCAATATTGGGTACATTTTCAGCCATAAAATGACAACTCTAATGCTGTATACAGTATCCCAGTAGAAATAAACCACTGCTACAATTAGCGATTTGACGCAGAGTTATTACTGGCACCCAGAATGACCTAATTTTAGATCAGACTGCCATGTTTGAAGATAAGGTACAGTGAGTGACATTTGATGGTTCGGCATTTTCTACAATTCGGGACCGATCGAGCCGTTTACTTTCGAATATGTTCGTGTGGATTATGTTGTGTGACTACTTGCTCCTATATGCACCCAGTGTTTGTTGTAACTTACAGTTTTCATTTCAATACTGCGTGAAGCTCACAAATCTGTGTATAAGTCGCAAAACCTTTTTTGCAGAGATCCTGATTCTTAGAAGCCATGTAATATCAAGCCCATGTGTATTTTTTGGGAGCTTATAATAGCTTATCACATCTTGTTTTAGCTATCAACATCTGCCACAAAATGTGTCGTAATAAATGGCAATAACTAAATAGTCTGACAGTTAAAAAATATTATTATAAAATACAAGCATTCAATTAATTATTATTAATAATAAATAAATATAATTAATTAAATAGGAACCAAGCAGATTTAAAAATATATATATATAAATATAGGAAATGTATTGGTTGAAAATATTTCTTCTTCAAAAGTAATAATTGGTACGGCATTAAACGATCGAAAACTTATTTACTTAAATCTTACAAGCAAATATTCAATTAGGCTTGAAAAAGTATAAAAAGAAGAGTAGTTTCCGAAATGAGTATAATTGTTGCGTCCTCTTAAAAATCTTTGCTCTTAAAATATCAAACTTATTTCTCTGTTGACTTTTTAATGAATGCTAATGATGCTTTTCCCGATATATCGCTGCGTAAAAATGTACTCTAGCTTTCATATAATGCTATTATTAATTA